TGAGCTGGTAACGTTGAAAGTTCGAAAGATCAAATGAAAGAATGTTTGGAGGTCATCCATCCATCCATCATTTTGTTTTTTATTTCTTTGTATTATTTTCATCTGTAATAGTTTGTCTATATTTGTATAACTATTTATTTACACATTCACATATGTATCTAACCATCCATGCGTCTAATAATTCATTCATTCATTCATTTGCATATCCATTCTTTCAAACATTTTTCTATCTATTTATCCATCAATCCATTTTTCATCTATTTTTCTATCAATCTTTCCATGCACCTATCAATGCAGCCCTTCATTTATCCATCTATCCATTCATCAATCTTTTCACCTATCTATAGACTATCCATATCCATCTATCTAACCATTCATCCATCCATTTTTTCATTCATCTATGTGCTATCCATATTCATATATCCATCCATCTATCTATCATCTTTCCATCTATCCATCTCTTCATCCATCTATGTACTATCCATATTCATATATCTAACCATCTATCTATCATCTTTCCATCTCTCCGTTTATCCATTCATCCATTTTTTAACACATTCATCTCCGTGCTTGTTGGAGCGTGAAGTTACAAGACAACCGCATTACACTCATCTACCTCATTTACGCTTCATTTGAAGGTTAAACTACTTCATCCACTCCGCAACACTCGCAACGACAAATATGTATGTATCTGTATCGGATATTATCTGTTGGGTTTTATGTGTATTTGTATAATGGGTATTTGTATTATGTGTATTTGTATAATGTGTATTTGTATTATGTGTATTTGTATTATGTGTATTTTTATTACGTGTATTTGTATTATGTGTATTTGTATAATGTGTATTTGTATTACGTGTATTTGTATTATGTGTATATGTTATATGTATTATGTGTATTTGTATTATGTGTTTTATGTGTATTTGTAATATGTATTAGGTATTATATAAATATCTCACATAATACCTAATACATAACATAAATGTATTGGTAGTGGTTTAAATATATGTGTATATAGTCAACACAAGTTGACTTTTGTACACAAGTGTTTAGAGGTACTTTTTGTTTGCAATTAGTTGGATGGTATGTAGGTATTATTAAAAATATAGTAATAGGCATGACTTAGTGTGACTTAGACTCATACAGACTTCGACCAATTCCTACACTCCGGTACCAATAGAAGGGTATGTTTTGTAATAGGTATATATTGAGGCATATATTTTTATAGAGGTATTTAAGAGAGTACTCTGCGTATGGGTACCTATGAAGGTAATTACATATTTTTCTCGTTCTCTTCGTCTGTTTGTTCTGAAAATCTATTTCCTCACTAGTCGTTTCATGCCATGAAGTGCTAGAGTGTATGTGTGTGCTTTTGCTTTTAAAAGTTGTAGTGTGTTTATTTGTTTGTATGTACGTGTGTGTGTATGTGTGTGCGTAGGTTTGAATGTGTGTGTTTGTGTGTGTTAAAATGTGTGTGTTTGTGTGTTGAAAGAACATGTGTTTGTGTCGGTTAGGATATGTCTTGCTATTACAGCATGTTCGTTAGAAATATTTGAAATTGTAAGCATTTGTGTATGACAATATATTTGTATGTATGTATGTGCGTGTGCATGTATGTTATGTATGTATGAATTAATTTATGTATGTACGTGAATATGTGTCTATATATGTATGTTATATTCTATAAATTCTGTTTGGCGTTAATATGTTTGAAGTTCGTTTTTTCAATTTTTCTCACTTAAAGTTTTTTGGTGAACGTTCGCAAA